CCCACAACCCCCCCGCGCGTGTGAGTTGGAGGGTGTTTTTCGGAGGAAAAAAACCCCCTAAAAAAAAGTTGCCAAAGTTGGGACAACACTGCCTTAAACTACATATGCCCAATTAATTAGGCTGTTTGCCCAATACAAATTTAATAAGCTAGAAACCATGTAAAGTTAGTCAGTGTTGAAGAGCCCCACAACATAAAGGAACTTTACAGGGGTCTTCAGTCTTCTGACTATTCTATAATGAAACAGTTGATCTGCAAAAAGTATAAATATCTCTACTGACAATCAACGCTGCAATAATATTTATATTTTTATTGAAATGTTTCCTATCCCCCCTTTCCCCAGGCAAAATCAGAGATATCTAGCAAAAAATTAAAATGCTGCAACAATATATAAAGCGTATAAGGAACAGCATGGTAAATACAGTTTCTACAATTAAAATACATTGTATAATCAACACAAGGCCCAAAAAGCCTTCCTAAAAAGAGAGATCTTTAGTGCATGACAAAAATCCACAATGAAGAGGAAAAAAAACTTGTCCTAAAGAGATTTGCAAAGCCACCTGGATAATTAACATCATAAAACTGCTCAGCATTACAAAGTTAGGGGCAAACCTACCTTGCTTTTCATAGCTGAAGAGTATGGGCCTAAGAACAACCCAGGTAAAATTTCCTAAAAAAAGAAAGAACAGTGGGTAAGTGCATGGGTAGACAAAAGTCACACAAAAACCAATTTACAAAGTACAACGTTAATCTATAATAATAATTACATTATTATAATATCAAAAGATTAGTTTTAAATTACTCCAGCCCTATCCAGCTACACATGAGAAAAGATGTAAGCCAGTAGGTGATTTGTACTAAAGGCCAGGTTTATTTTCTTATACAACCAGCACAGGGCTACAACACTGCACAGCCTAAGCATAGTCACAGGAGAAACATCCTGATCTAGGTGGCCGAGGGCCATGCCAGAACTAACCACCTCATGCTGGGTCAAGCTTAATAAACTCAGGCAGAGTATAAAAATTGTTTTATGAATTTTATGAATTTGCTCTTTCTGCTGAGAAGTTACTTGGTACTTTTTTCCTGGAAAAAGAAAAAGAAAGAAACATGAACAAGTACGATTATAACCCAGACCAAGATGCCAAGAACTGTTTGCCTCAGTGCTGTTGTACCCTGTGCTTCTTTTCCTCCTCAAACTCATTCTGGACTAATCCTGTAATCCCTAGAGGAAATTCAAGACCTTCAAAGGTTTGAATGAGGCAAAATAAAGATACACATCTCTCAAGTTATTCCAGACTGTCATCTTTTATATAACTGGATTTTTTCAGCCCCACTTTTCATTGCAGGTTTAACCCAAGCCCAGTTTTCACTTTTACTTTTCCTGTTCATGTCAGTATCACCTATTTTCTCTGAACTGGGTAATTTATAACCAACAGTAATGGGCTTCTTCTATACTGTTTTGTAGAACCATTTCTGAAAACATTTTCTGGTGATGCTCCTTGCTACATGAGAGGTAGAAATTCAATAGGCCAAGCTTTTCTTCATGGCATCTTCTAGTAAAGAAATGAGTTTCTGCCTGCCATGGAACTGGTAAGGCAAAACTTTCAACCTACACAAGGCTTATTTCTGTGTTCTTTAATATGATGCCTACATCTCCTTAAGTGCCCACCAGGCTTTTACTTTTTTTTTTTAAAGTACAAAATGTTAACAGTTGAAACTTTCATGCTGAGAGTAGAGTTGTAGTCTGGGAAACTCTTTCATTTCAAGTATATTACACACAACTCTGTGCTTTATTCAGAACTGTGCCCAGCTAATCAGAAAAGAAGAGCAGTATTCTTTAGAGCAATCTTTCTCAACCTTGGCAGCTTTCAGAGGCATGGACTTCAACTCCCAAAATTGAAGGGAACTGAGTTCAACTCCCAAGCAAGGCTGGCTGCGGAATTCTGAGAGTTGAAGTCCACACCTCTGAAAGCTGTCAAGGTTGAGAAACACTGCTTTAGAGGGTGGGCACAAAGCATCCCAAAGGACGACAGGTTTTCTGGGAGGCTAGGGGTGAAGATCAAATGCCTGAGCTAAATACATTTGCTCATTTTTTAAAATGTGCATGAGTAGAATATATTGGTTGATTTTTTGGTGTGATTTGACTTTGGTGCTTGTTCGTGTTTGCGCATATTCTGTCTGGTTATTTTTCCAGCATGAGTGTATGCTACATGTAACATATGGATGTTTTGCCTATGCTGAGGGATGGGGGGATGTGTGAACTGATTCTTACGTTTCAGACTTTCTCTCTGCTTTTTACTTCGTTTCTAGCAGTTAGGTGGTCTTATTCAACTTGCCTTTTGTGAAATGGCCGTTGGAATAGAAAATTATGGGTTCACAAGAATGGATTTAAATTTTAATTAAAACCCCACTTATTCATTTGACTTAAATTCTTGGACAGGTTTTTTAAATTATTTTTTTAGCCTCATTTCTGTTTTGAGAAATTGATGTTTTTGTGAACAGCTGTGGTAACCATTTTGTGAGAATTCATTCTTAATATTCCACTGGTCCAAGAGGCTTGAGTATCTACATATATTCCAGTCCCCTGAATTCAGAGAAGAGAGTGACAGAAATGTATACAGAATGTGTACTGCCCAGGACTAAGACAGGCAGAGATAATGATTATTGAAAGAATAGCCTCAATTAGCAACTACCTGCAGCCCTCAGAAAGAGAGGCCAGATTAGGTCCTAGGGTCTCTAACTCTTTCAAAGTTGGTATCTTTCAGATGGATAGTAATAAAGCATAATCCCTTGCCACCCTGAGCTCCTGAGTTACAAATCTAATAAGTAAATAAATAAATAAAAATAGAAGGCTAGTTTTTTAGGACAATTTCCCAGAGATTTTATAGGAACCATCTTCCTTAGGCAGGAAGTGTGGCTGGGCTTTTTTCTTTCCCACTTATTTATGGTTTGCAATATGAAAAACATAAAATGAGTGTGCAGCATCCAATTTCTTCATAGCCTAATGTCGGATGTGAGCATACAGTGGGGCAAAAAAGTATTTAGTCAGCCACCAATTGTGCAAGTTCTCCCA